AGTCCAACAACTAACCCAACTAAGGCCACCACTGAAACCACCATTAAAACCCCACTAAATATTTCAAGAATCACCCATTTTCTGCTCCAGGTTTCCATCTTTTTCTGCACTATATACATCTCCACCCGGAAAATATATCGCCAACGACCACAGTTTGTTTTATACAATAAATAGATTTCAAGTTTTTCAATTTCAGATTCGAATTATTTCAGAAAAACATGAATTAGGGTTTTGATTTGATAAATTGGTTCAAATTGATTGAGAATAACCGTGCTCTGATACCACATGAAGTGATAATTTCATAGAAATCATACATACGAAATAATTTGTAAATCAATTTGAACACAAATCGTCAAAACCAAAAGAGAGATTGAAACACTTGCTTGGTTTAACTTGATAGGAGTAGGACTGGATGAAGCCATATTCTTTTTTGTAATCCCTTTGAAACACCACTGATTGATGAAGCGATGATTGAACAGAAAAAAAAATTCTTCTCTTCTTTCTGTTTTGGTGTTGAATGTGTACGAAGGAGAGAAAAAAAATCTGTTGAAATAAAAAAAGTCTTAAAGGTATATATAAGGCTATAACTGTAATGCCCCCTTTTATATGGGGTATTTATAAAAATAACCGGTTTACACAACCATTTGCCACAAAATAACCACATTTTAGAGGTTTTACCAAAATGACCACACGGATCGCCCCCGTACACTACGGGGGCGATCCCCCCATAAGTCTTAAAAAAAATTCCTCAAAAGTCGAGATTACTGTTCATCCCTCGTTGACCGTGTTTGACCTCGCCCCGAGGCGATCCGGGTAAAAAAAAATTTGATTTTTTTTTCTAATACAAATTTCACTATAAATACCAACCTCCTACTTCATAATTTTTCACACCTTCCCTTCCATTTCTTTTCTCATATATTTTACTCTCACAACCCTTAACCCATTAAACACAATAAACCATCACAACCTTTAACCCACTAAACACAATTAACCATCACAAAACATGAAATCACATGAAAGTGATAATGTTTGTGTGTATCTTCGAAGTGGCGGTTTATTCAAAGATATAAATGGTGTTTTAGAGTACCTTTCGATAACCTCCCCCACATGTGCAATACATTTGTCTTCGCCAATAACGTATTCTGGGGTCGTCAAACGTGTGACGAAAAAGTTAAGTTTACGTGGTCCTTTCAATTTATTTTTTAAAACGAATACGTTATATCAGTTTATGGACGACGATGATGTGGTAATCCTCCACAACGCCGTTCGTCAAACTTTACCAGAAATGTTGACACTATATGTTGTCGACACTATATGTTGTCGACAATGGAGGTTATGAAGGAAATCCATCAAATGCAAACCCGGGAGATCCAAACACTTTTTACATCGGTGCTGTGAGCACACTCTTCCCCGACGTTAGCGTTGCAAACCCATATGGTCCAAGCACATTCTTCCCTACCGGTTGTGCTCCTAGTCTAAATCAGAGTACTTTCTTCCCTAGTAGTGGAAGTGGTGAAAATTGAAGCACCTTATTCCCCTACGATGGTGCTGGAAATTCATATCTTGAACAAAAAGTTAGCGTTGAACCTGACAGTTATTTTGTTCAAAACTTGAACATGCCTCTGATGCAGTCTCCCAACCCATATATAAAAAAAGCGATATAAACGGTACTTAGATATATATATATATATATATATATGTATATATATATGTGTATATATATGT